CTTTTCAAGTTTGGACGCCTTGCTCAGCGACATATGCATATCAACTTCGGCTGCTCCTACTTATCTTCCGGCCCACAAATTCGAAACCAAGGAACCTGATGGCAGCACAAGAGAATTTCACATGATCGATGGTGGCATGGCGGCCAACAATCCGGTAAGATGTCATATCTCATCCATCCCATGCTAATTATTTCATTACAAAATTATTACTTTCCTCATGATTACTGCAATTTTATATCTGTCGACTGTGTTTTCTTCTTCAGACCTTGGTTGCTATGGGCCAAGTGACTAGGGAGATTAGTCGAGGAAATCCCGACTTCGCCTCCATCGGTGCATCGGAGTATAGTCGTTTCATTGTTCTGTCCTTGGGAACGGGTACTACAAAAGGGGAAGGGTTTGATGCTGATAATGTTGCCAAGTGGGGACTCTTGTCTTGGCTGACAAGTGGTAATTCAACTCCTATAATAGATATATACACTCAAGCAAGTGGCGACATCGCTGATCTTCATCTTTCCACTATTTTTCAAACTATGCAGTGCGAAGAAAATTATCTACGAATTCAGGTAAAAGTCTTTGCTGTGCTCTTATCTTTTTCTACTTACACTCATGAAATTTAATGAGAAAAAATTTGCAAGTATAAATGAAAGCAATATGACTTCTACTAGTACAACTTGAAGGTACGGTCCTGATTTATAGCTTAGTGACTTTTTTCTTGGGTCCTCCAAATAGTACATGTATAAATGTAGACTTATGCATGCATACTTCAGGATGACTCGTTAACTGGAGACTTGGGTTCTGTGGATCTTGCCACAAAGGAAAATTTAGAGAATCTTGTCAAAGTTGGGGAGAATTTGTTGAAGAAACCAGTTTCCAGGGTTAATTTGAAGAATGGTGTTTTCGAGTCCGTGAACAGGGGCACAAATGAGGAGGCTCTCAAAAGGTGCAAACCATCGTCCTCGAGCCCTTTTTTCTTTTGCCTATCAAGTTACATTATTGATTTAATTCAATTTATATATTAGTTCTAAAAACTGCCATGACTGACTATAAAAATTTTCTGATGTGATACACAAATCTGAAAAAAAAAAAAAATTGATCTAACCAAAAAAAAAAAAGCAAAAAAATATTTACTGTTTTTTCAAAAATATCTAGATTTCTTGAATTTGCTCAATCTTGCTTTTTAATTTGATCTTTGAATATGTAGGTTGGCAGCATCACTCTCTCAGGAGAGGGGCCTTCGTATTGCGAGCGAGTCCAAGAAATGATCTTCTGAGGCCTCAACGCTGTTAAGTGTGATAATTTATAATTGAAGCACTTGTCGTAAAATTATACATATTATACGTTGACTACGTATGTGTACGTGGAAAATAAGTAGATCCCCAATAAGTGTCCGTACCAATTCCGGGGAAGAGATTGTAATTTCCTTCCAGTGTTGCTGTAATTTATTTTCAATAATCAGGACTTCGAAATTTGAATAATCAGCTCATTGTACCTTTTGTTTTCCAAAGTTCTTTCTTGCACATGAATTCGTTTACTTTATTAGTTACTCCACTATTCATTGTGTGAACTGTGAGGTATTAAAATTTTATAAAAATGCAGTTTTGGTATTTAAAATTTGACATAGAAGCGATTTTTGGTCCACAAACTTCAGTTAAAAGCAAATTTGGTATCCAATCTTTCAATTTTTGAGCACATTTAATACCCTTGCTGGTTTTTTTTCAAATTGTTACCGAAACGAGTCATGTGATAGTCACATGTCTAGCAACTATTGTATTAAAAATGTCAAAAAATGTAAAATATCCTTCTGACACTAAATATTGAGTTCAAGGACTACATTTTTTTTTTTACATAATAGTTACCGGATATATGACTATCACGTGACTTTTTCCGATAATAATTTGCGAAAATTTCGTTAAAGCTACTAACGATTTAATGTGCTCAAAAACTTAAAAGATTGGATACTAGACTTATTTTTGTCCAAAGTTCCGAAACTAAAAGCACTCATGTAACAAAGTTTCGTGTCCCCACTCCCCACTACAACGATACAGAGGGAAAATATCTTACACCCTACCTGGAAAATATTTTCCAAATGTTTCAAAGAAAATAAATGCTTTCCTATTCGTTTTCCGCTGTTTGGTTGACTAGTTTGGCCTCCTAGAAATTTAAGCCCATTATATCTCGAATATCCAACCCACAGCAGCACCTTGCCTCCTAACATACATTTTGCTTCGTCAGGCCTACCACCAGCAAAGCTGTCTACCACCCACGTTCTTTTCCCCCTTGCCACCGCAGCTGCAAAAAACTCCTCCCAGAACCACCATTGCCACCACTTCTTCCTTACCAAGCCCAACACCATTCCTACCGCATCCCCACGGCAAAAGGAAATTATCATCAATGGGGAAGTCTTATGAAACAACAAGAAGTTTTTCAAAAATACCAATTGCTGGCAAATAGTATTGTAGGAATTAAAGATTCATCAGGTTGGTTCATCAATAAAGAAGTATCTTTTCTCAAAGATCTATACTCTAATATCAAAAGGGTTAATTACATTTACCTCCCTTGAGGTTTGACCATATTACCAATCAATCCCTGTAATTTGTCCAAATAACGGTCTCACCCTTTGAATGATCAAACATTTAATAAAAACCCCCTTAATATCGAAAATGCCCTTATTGAAGCCATGTTGCATTAAAAAAAGAACATATTTATATTTTATCAACCCTGAAGCAATCCAAAAAAATAGAAAAATTTTTTTGCTTATTATTTTATAAAAATCATATCTTTGCTTCCATAAATAGTTTTGAATCAATAAGTATTTTAAATCTTAAAAATGAATATTAAAAATTAGATAAATTGAAAGAAAAATAAAAAATAAGCAATTATTTTAAATCCTCAAGTATGGTTCGAATTTGAAATTGAAATATTTGAAAAACCCAACCCTTGTATACCATCTCTCATCTCCCAAGAACCCTCTCTTACCACCCATGTATAAGACTACATGTTGCCTCTTGTGTGTCTCCTGTGTAGTCTGTCAACCCACCTATTTATAGATAATATTATTTGGCCAAACCCAAATAACAATAGGAACCTAGACTTACATAAAATAGGAAATAACTTCTAATTCTAAACTAAATAAAATATTCCTTGACTACTACTTCAACAAGTAACTAAAATCAATTAGGAAACTAGTTACTTCTACACAAAAACAAGAAATCTACCTAAAAGAAATTAATCCAATTTTCTAACAGTTGCTATGGAAAAACACCAATGCGATCACCAAGGAATCATATAGGTAAAGATTGTGTGACAGATTTGAGTTCTTAACTATAGCCTTTTGAAGGGTTGTGTTCCAGCAGAAAAGATTTTCCCATGCATTTGTGCAATCAAACATTGGAAATTCCAGAAAATATCTTCCGGAAAATATTTTCAGTCCAATCAAACAGACCCTGAGATTACCATTTTCAAGATAAAACAGCCCGATGTCTTTTATTAGCAGCGAATACAGGACGCTTGTTTCATCTGGAGCTGCTGTTGGTTCTGGACCAAAATAATCACATTAGTTAGAAGAATTTCTCCAATTAAATTTAACAAGGAAATTAACAATATTCACTTTACCTCAATATTGCATAAAAAATGATATAACTTGCACCATAAAAGTTTGTTTGGCATCGGTTGGACATAAAAGTTTTTTTTTTTTTTTTTTTGAAAAGCTCAGAGGGTGGTACTTCTTTTTTATTTTGTTCAAAAAGCTGGTCAATGTTTTCAGCAGCCACGCACGAAAGTGAAATCAAAAGAAAAGTAAAAGCCCACTAGATATGGGATTGGTACAGGAGATACATTTAAATAAGCCCACTATATTATATCTTGTGAGAAAAATTTTGAATAAGTTCCACTCCGGCTACCACTAACGAATCAAGGCAATGCCTCAAGGACCGAAAGTCAACACATTATATTTGTTCTGTTTGCTCTCTGAGTTTGGAATTATAAATAGGAGATTTTAGATTTAAAATTTGTTACTTCAAAAAAAAGTTTTTAAATAATAAGTAGAAAAGGAGCGTTTAATTCTTACGATGCTCTTACTTGCTGAGCTATTGAATTAAATTAACTAAACCTCAATTGCTTGTTTTACCGTCGTACAGGTTGGCGGAAACGCTCTAGGAAGAGAAGCGCGCCACAAGATGCCTTCACAGTCCTCGACGAATTTGGCTTTGCCCAATATAGTTCAGCTTTCCTGTTAGCAGAGTGAACCAAGTTCAGAAAAATATTTCTTTTTACTTCTAATTGTTTCATTACAGTCAAGTTATGTGGTAGTTTTTTCTGTGATTGAGTTGTTTGTTTAATAATTATTTGTGTGGCTGTTTTGTTATCCACTAAGTCGGGTTACGTAAAAAAAGGGTATTAATTGGAGTATTGTAGTCTAAAGATGAATTTATGGAGAGTTCATCGAAATTTAAAATATCGGGATCATTATTGTCGTGAGACGTTCTTTCTAATTTAAAATACGTTGTAATTGAGTTTATTCTTCTCTTTTCTCTCTCTCACGCGTATTTTTTGCCATCATTTAATCACGTCAAATCTACAATTTTGCAAACTTCATAAAATTGGAGTTATACATTTCTTGTTCAATAATGCATAAACATTATTTTGTTTTTCGATTATCTGCCTATGGAAAACGAAAACAGAATGCACGGACTAGGGTAGAGGTTTTGAAGTTCGTATTTCAATCTCCTCTTTAATGTTACAACTGGCTTCTTAGATTCTGGCTTATGGGGTTGGAGTATAAATTGATTTTGCTTTCTTAATTTTTTTCGCTGGGGAAAATTTGCTCATGAATGATAGTTGCATTTTTTGGGCATGCATCAATTTCATTACTTGTATCTTTCCAGGTTTACACTAACTTTAATGTGTCTAGAGGCTCAATACAATTTTTGCAACGTTGAAGGAGAAACAAACTCATTTTCCTGAATTTCAACTCGATCAGACCAACATATAGTCGGATAACAAGAGGGAATTTAGTATCTGGCTTATAGCTGAAATTTGAAAGTTGACATCCACAGAAATTTACACTTCACTTTATTCTTGAACAAAATAAAAGATGCTTAGATACATTATTTATGTAATATGCTGGGGGAGTTTGTTTAATGATGAAGAAATTGAGGTACAGAGACCACAAAAAAAAAAAAAAAAGAAGAAGAAGAAGAAGAAGAAATGACATGGATTACAAAGTTGGGTAAAAAAAATAAATGTAACAATAAATGGATGGTTTTTGGCATTGCATGATTAAGTGAGGGGTGGAGGTTTTTCAGCTTTGCTGGTTAAAGGAGATCTAAGCTCCCGTAGTCTTCTTTCCTCAGAAAGCAACCTTGCGAACCTACAACAGATGGGAAGACAAATAAGTCATGCTTTACAAAAATTACTCAAGGTTGGAAGATTAGAGAAATTGAGGCTGGTTACAATATTGCACAAATTAGATATATTGAATTGCTGAGTAGTTTTTGTGCGTGAAGGAGCTAGATGCTCAAGCCTTTGATAAAAAAAAAAAAAAAAAGAATAGACTAATAATTTGTAGCAAGAAAACTGCTTAAAGCCTCAATTATATGACTGAAAGAATAACATTATTGGTGAAATTAATAGAATTGCAAGATTGAGTCCACACCTTTTTAGAGCTTCCTCGTTTGTACCGCCATTTGCTATTGTCTCAACTGCACCAGTCTGCTGATTGACCCGAGAAACGGATTTTTTCAGCAGTTGGGTACCTGTGATAACCAAGTTGTCCAAATTCTTCTTTGTTGCGATATCAACCGAAGAAACCGTCCCGATCAATGTATCATCCTGAATGCGAAGGTAATTATCTTCGGAGTGAAGAGCTTGGAAGACTTCAGAAAGGTGCAAATCAACCATATCTGCACTGGCTTCCGTGAAAACATCCACTAAGGGAGTGGAATGACCGCTAATTAACCACCCGAAAACACCCCATTTGGCAGCCTTTGCTGCATTGTATCTTTCCTCAACTTTTGCTGATCCTGTGCCTATTGAAATCACTAGAAAACGGCCGTAATCCGTGGGCTTAATTGGGAAGAAATCTGGATTTCCGCGGAAGATCTGTTTAGTTACTTGGCCTATGGCAACCAAAGCCTGCCACACCAAGGAAATCAATGCCAAATTATTCATTTAATCCATTTATCAGACTTGCATATCAATCAACGTTTTCTTTTTCTTTTAATTTTTAATTTTTTTCCCCTTTTTCTCTTTGTCAGGTCTTGGGCAGTAAATGGGGCAATATGTAAATGTGATAGTTTTTATGATATCCTTAACAACCTGTCACTGGTCTATTACGTACAAAGTCCATTAATTATAAATTTTTCGCATTTAATTTTCCACTGTATATAATATATGTATGTACTAAACCGTCTGCAAATTAGAAATAAATCACTGGCATGTTGTATATTCTAATGCAAAGATTGTAATCCATCATATATAGGTAGAGGGAATCTCGAAATTTAATAATCGTGAGTAGATCGAAGGCCATACCGGATTATTTGCGGCAACACCACCATCGATAAGATTGAACTCTTGAACATTTCCGAGCTCATCGTGATTCTGGAAGTAATATGCAGGAAGATAAGTTGGAGCTGCAGATGTGCTGATGCATAAGTCGGATAGACGAGCATCCATGGATTTCTTTTCCTTGGCCTGCATGCATATGGTTGGGAGTGGAAGTCAAAATCCCAATTCAAATGCTAAGGCATATTACAAATTCGAAAATTCTAAGGTTTGGATATGTTCTTGTCCTACCCTGTGCTTTGAGGCTTAACTGTAGTACGTACTACATAATAATGGATCCATGATTAAGGTCTAAAGTACGTAGTCGGGCAAGTCTGCTCAAAAAAGTTGAGACTTTGGAACCATGCGCTTGTTGCAATATGTGAACAACTGACTACAGCCACTACTCATGGGGGTTAAGTCCAAGGTCGTGAATAAATCTCCCCAATAATACTAAAGTTAATTGGACTTCAACGGCCTTCGGGTTCTCATTAATACATTATTTCTCATAATTTAAATCTTCCACAGTCAATTTAACAGAAAGATTAGTTTTTTGTTTAATGTATTTTTTTTTTTGAAGGAACAAGAAGATTGTTAGCTTGTGAAAAGCAAAAGCGTGACTAATAAACACTAAAATATTGCCGCTTACGGGTAGCTGTAGTCAGTCAGAAATGTCAAACCTAACCGTCAACGGATTGATTTGTTCAACTATTTTTTTTTTCTTTTTTCCCAGTGATAGGATAAGGTTTCACTTCTAGTCCGCATACAGAGAGGGAAGAGAAGAGAAGACCTCATAAGTTGAGAAAATTGTGGGATGCAAATTCTTGATATCAAAAGTTGGAACAACGATATTGGTCAGGGTTTCATGCAACCGAATCTCGCCCAGTTTCTCCCTCACAACTTGGTGAAGATACCGGCCATCATACTTGGGTCCGAACACAGCTTTCAAAGCACTTCTTACTGATGCGAGTCTGCCCCTGTAATTGAAATTTTGGAAGCCATTTAACTGAGATAAGATCAAGTAGCATAAGTTTGTATTATCAGGAAAACAGGGAAAATTTTTTTTTTTAAAAAAAAGAAAAGATTACCACTTCTGGGGGAATATCTTAGGGCCGTTTTCAAGATAAAAGGGCTTGATGTCTTTAGCAGCAAATAAAGGACGCTTGTTTTCATCTGGAGCGGCTAACATTGAAGTTATTAAGCCACCTGTGCTTGTTCCTGCTATCACGTCAAAGTAATCTGCAAGTCTTGCATCCTCCCCGTCCAGCTCCTATACATCAAATGATAGTGCATAAAATTTCTCCTCGGATTGAGATAAGGTACAAAAGCATTTTTTTTTTTGGGCCGAGAAAGAAGAAGAGGGAAGGGAGATAGGACGGGTGAGGATCGAACTGCTCTTCTAAAACAAGAAGCAAAGACACTTAATCACTAGAAACGGTAATACTGAAATCTGCAAATATATATATGTATGCATACACACACATATATGTATGCATGTATATAGTTTGAAAGTCACCTGAAGTTGAGATTCAAGGTACTCAAGGATTACGCCAGGAATCAGTCCTCTAATGCCACCTCCATCTATGCTAAGGATTGTGATTAGATTTCCATACGTCGGGGCCTGCATGGGGAGAAGAGATGATAGTACCCTCTCCATTGTAAGTTGTAACTGGTTGTACTGTACCTGACTTTTGGAGATCAATTTTTTTGCTGAGTAAGGAAAGAGAATGATTGCCTTGGTTTGTGGAAAAACAAGATAAGAATTTTAAGTCTCTTGCTTTGTTGCCCGTGAAGTATCTTAGTGCCTTTATAACCCTCAAAACTCTAGGAAATGTTTGAAAAAAACACCTCGAGAGAGTTCATCAAAGAGTCACCTTTTTCTATCATCAAGGTCACTTTTTCTCTCAAACATGGATCCACTTTTTTTCAATATTCAAACTGCATTCTAGACCCTGCCAACCCTAGCTCCTTAGTTTAATATCAACCGGACCCCCTGCCAAACCCATGACACATCTAGTCCAACACTGTAAGTTAGGAATCCAACTCTGATCCAAAAGCTTAAGTTATTAGGTCTTGAGTTCTTACTTACATATTAACCGCTCTTTCTACATCTCTCGGATTCAATATGGGATACAAGCCTTTACTCATGAACCTAACAGGAAACTTCCTCGTAATTTTGTCTTTGATCGGCTAAGGATTTTAGGTTATGGTCGTAAAAGTAATCTTTTAGAAAACCTCCACGGTACGAGGATGGTGTTTTCTTTTTTATATGTCTAAAAATTTGTGAGAGAAAGCTTGTCAATGTTTTCAGCAGCCACGAAAACGAAATCAAGAGAAAAGTAAAGCCCACTAAATATAAGGATTAACTCCACTTCCTACCTCCAAACTTCTTCTATTTTTTCTACTTTGCAACCCAAATTTAAATTTTGGATCCTAACCTCGCAATTTTACACACTTTGCACTTTAAACTCTCAAGCCTGTTTCACTTAAGTCTAATTAATAATAAAGTTAGCAAAATTAACGGAATAAAAGATCATACAAATTAATGATAAATGCTGTGGGGAGAGCACAGAGACTATAGAACACTGTTTGTTTCTATGTGACCACGCCAAGGTGATATGGAAGGCTGCTCCACTGAATTGGGATGGGCTGGAGTTGTTTTCAAACAGGTTCTGGCACTGGTGGGAGGAATTAAAGGGGGCAGCAAAGGAGGAAAATGGGCGGGAGCGTATTACTCTGACCGTCAACTTGCTGTGGCAAATTTGGAAGTCCAGGAATGCAAGACAGTTTGAGGAAAGGAATGGAGACCCAAGGGTGGCAGTGGAGAAAGCGTTGAGGGAGTGGAGGGAGTATTAGGAAGCTCAGGAATGGGAAAGGGGAACTGAAGGAGATCATGCGAGGAAGGATAAAGGCTCGTCAGGGTGGAGGAAACCAAGGGATGGTTGGGTTAAGGTGAGTTCAGATGCTGCGTTGCATCTTAAAGCTGATAGAGCTGGATGGGGAATGGTGGCCAGGGATTGGTTGGGAAGATTGCGAGGGGCCCGGGCTGTTCCAAATCTTAGCTGTGCCAATCCAAAGGTCAAAGAAGCAAAGGCGCTAAGACAGGCTATGATAGTTGCACAATAGCAAGGTTGGCGAAGGGTGGAGTTTGAAGTGGACTGTAGTCAAGTAGTGAAAGCAATGTGCAGTGAGGAGGAGGACGTAGTGATAGCAACAATTGTACATGACATCAAGATACTTCGGTTAAAATTTGATGAATGTTGTTTTACCTTTACAAATAGGGTGAACAACTTTGTTAGCCATAAACTAGCTAAAGTAGCTATTACTTTGGAACACAAGACTGAATGGAAGGAAAACTTCCCAGTTTGGCTGCTGGATCAAGTCCAGGCAGATTGTAAGGGCGGTTGCCCACCTATATTTTAATTGGTTTACTATTAATACAATGTTGCCGTTCTGATAAAAAAAAAAAAAATCAAAAGAACCAAAGGGATCACAACTAGAACAAGTTGGTCAAAACTTTATCCCATTGTTAGCAAAATTAATAAGACAAAAGACAATACAAATTAATGGCAATATATCATTTTGTTTTAGTTACAATCATTTTGCTGCTATTGACCACTTTCAATACATTGTCATTAGTTTGTATGGTTCTCTATTCGGTTAAATTTGCTAACTTTGTTATTTATTAGGCTTAGATAACATAAATTTAAGAGTTCAAGGTGCAAATTATCGCAAATTGTGAATTTAGGAAATAAAATATTTAAAATTAAAGTTTATGGTGTAAAGTGAAAAGGTATCACAAGTTCAGAAGTAGAATGTGAAATTAGTTCTAAATGTAACACTCCAGGATGCAGATATTAACCGATCAAATTTTTTTTTTTCTCTTTTCTGAGTAAAGAAATAAATTTTTTACCATAATTTCGGAGAATTTGTAATCCACAAGGCACGGGGTCAGAATATGCATTTAACACGTTGACGAATTTACCAGTTAGTTCTTGTCAATTTTATTCATCCGCAAGAGCATGCTGTCTTTGGCGATAATAACGAGCATTCATGCAGGTGTACGTTAGTGCTGTAGTGGCATAGAGGCCAGGAAATGCTGGTGTCTCTATCGCTGCAATACTTTAAAAAATATAAATGACCAAAGGCATAGATGCCGTATTTGACGACCTAGAAAACTCTGAACGAGGCAAATTTGGAAAGTAATGCTGCGAACTTGAAGGAAAAATTCAACTGTTTGTTAGGTTCCTATCAGCAACTGATCAGAATAGCTATCCTTGATTAGAGGGGTATGAAGCCAAGAAATTTATATAGTCATTATAAATTGATTATCTGAGAAGTTTTAAATTATACATATAGTCATTATAAATTGAACAACAGGGATATTAATCACTTCAGGTTGAAAAATACGTAAGCTCTCCATATTTGGACAAAGTACAAAACAAATGCATCTTTCTTTCGTCCTCTTTTTTTTTTTTTTCATGGGATAATTAAAAAAAACTTCCCTAGAAGTTTTTAACAATCAGAACCATCTCCCTTGAAGTTAGGAAAATTACAGAAACCTTTCCTAGAAACTAAGCACAAAAAATACAGTGAATATCCTATATTGCCCGCCCCTATCTGATTCCTAAAACAAACCAAATGACAAAAGAATTTTAATATCACCATTTCATGTCGATAAAAACTTTAAGGTAAATCTTTTCAAAAAAAAAAAATTAATTTATGTCTTGGAGGAATCCTTTCTTAGTGCTTGGGCCTTTCTTATATATATTTTTTCTTTGTTAAGTAATTTTTGAAAAGACTACTTTTAACAAAATGCATCCCTATATATTGGTTGGTGGGTTATTTGTAGAATTGTCCAAGAATTCACTTATAAGAAGTGAGAATGGAATATAATATACAAGAGATGAGATGTGTTAGTACTCTTGATTAAAAAGGTAGCAGTGAAAACAGGTTTCCTTTTTTCTTCTTTAACCCCATTTTCCCCTTAGGATCTATATGTTTTTATGACGGATATTACAATCTTTTCATAACATAAATAAAGAGAGGTAAGTACGAGCATTCAAAAGTTTTCTTTTATTATTTTTATCGATGGTTTGACAGTTGACTAAAAGATCAATCTAATCTCTAGATGCAGTTACATGTCTGATATAATTTGTGGATAGACATTCTACAACAACGACCCATCATAGATTTTTCAGTGGCAAGTTGTTTGTCGAATTAAATAAATGGCGGCTTTTCTGAAATTTAATCCTTCACCAGAGAACATATATCATATAGTACTTTTTGTTTGAAAGGAAAACGTTGTTCAAAAACGTTGAATGGTCGCAACGATTTCCGAGTGGTGCAGACGTGTCATGCCAATAAAAAAAATGTAATGATTGTATAACTAAAGGAAAAATCTGAAGTAACGATAGTTATGGTAACGAAACTATTTTTACCTGATATAACAGGTAAAAATACTTTTAGCGACCATTTGATGACCTGTTGTACTGGTCATCTAAATGAAATAGTACCTAAAATGGTGGTTAGTAAGTTTTCCATAAAGAATAGTAAGTTAACTCGATATATTAGTAACTTTTATGTCTCAAAAAGTAAACTTGAATAAATATGGAACTAACTTTGTTTTTTATGAAGTAAAATATTACTCTATATCTGAAACTTAGTTTTTGGAGGGTAAGTTTAGTTCAAGTAATAGTAAGTTTTTATAGATTAATAGTAAATATTGTTGATAGATTAGTAAATTTGGTTAATCATCAAAACTTAATAGTTTGTGGCATAAATTTACTATTTTACTTAAAGAAACTTACAATTGTACGTATCATTTATAAATGTTATATGTTCGAAGCATTTTAAATATACTATGAAAACTTTTTTTTTTGCATATGACCTTATAAAATATGTAAGAATAATTTGTCATATTTTAAATTTTTTATTACGGGAAAATAAACAACTAAGTTCCCAAAATATTTCACTTTTATTGTTTAAAAAATCTCAACTTGTTGGTTAAATTCAAAATAATTCGATTGTCAAAAATAGTTTTTCTCAAATTAACTTTAATGATTGGATGTGAGATACAAAAATGGTAAAATATCCCTCATACATATGTCATGGATATTTCCGACTTTTAGTAAAAAAAAAATTTTGTTGTTAAAATAACATTTATCATAGTGTACTAATTATTTTAGAACCATTTTATAGGTGAACTAAATATAATTTAAATTATACAATAGATTATACATGCATGTGATTTTCATTTATAATTATTGGATCCTATTCTTATGAACAATCTCCCAAGGAAAAAAATCAAGATCATACTGATTTTCTTATATTAATTGTTATACTAATTTTGTCATTTTTATTATTATATTATTTCTCATTTTGTTTAGGCCTTAACTCTTATTATTTCTTGTGTCTCAGATGTAAATTTATTAAAACTTTATCATCTTACTATTACTTTATCAAGAGTTAATATTTATGTATAAAAACTTACTATTACTTGAATTAAGCTTACTCTCTAAAAAGTAAGTTTGGGAAATAAAGTAGTAATTTATCTATTTAAAAAGTAAGTTTAATATTTATTCCAACTTACCTTTTGAAGTATAAAAGTTACTAATTTTTTACTGTTAACATATTATTTTAGATAGAAAACTTACTTTCTTATTTTTAAGTGTTATCCTATTTAGGTGGATAGACCGATCAAATAATCAAATGGTCGCTAAAAGCAAATAAAAAATAAATCGAAAATGGTAACGAAATTTGTTATCCTATTTATGTCTTAAAAAGTAAAATGAAATAAAATTGAAAGTTACTTTTTAAAAAAAAAATAAATTACTGCCTTTATTCGAAACTTTCTTTTTGGAGAGTAAGTTTAGTTCAAGTAATAGTAAGTTTTCACGGATTAATAGTAAATCCTGTTGATAGAATAGTAAATTTGGTTAATCATCAAGACTTACTAGTTTGTGGCATAAATTTAATATTTTACTTAAAAAAACTTATATGAAACAAGTATTAGAAAGTTTATTTAAAATAATGCTAAGATTTTTTTGTTAAGGATTGAAACTTAATATTATAGTTAGTAATTGTTGGTAACGTAAATGTATAATATATGGTTGTATGTATCATTCATCAATGTTATGTGTTTTAAGCATTTTAATAAATGTATGTATCATTTACAAAGGTTATGTGTTCTAATAAATTTATTTTCTAGGTCACAAGCATAAAAGTTAAATTTGTACTAATGTGGCATAATCTTTGAAAACTATAGTAAATTTACCCATAGATTAAGTTTCGTGAGATTCAAATATATTTTGTATCATTTACAATATGGATTTATATGCATATATATATTTTTTATCAAACTTACTTTTAATTGGCAAATAGTATGTAAATTATTATAAAATGTCATTTTATAATAATCATATTTTTTATAGGTGAATGGTATATAAACTGCTAAATTGGCCAATTTATAAATGCTAAAATCTAGTTACTTTATGGCATATATTAGTTTGATCAACTAAAAAATTAGCGTAATTAAGTGTACGTTGGTTGTTGATTTGAAATTTGCACCCTTGTCACTATTTCGTTATTTCTACCACAAGTTTTTGTGATCAAAGTAAAACAAAGTCAAATATTTTTACCTGATATAAGTTGTATTTATATTTAGTAAAAAATTAATAAACCATGATTACATTTCATAATTTCTAATGAAATTAGTAACATTTTGTAAATAAATCGGAATAATTTGTAAAATATGTTATTTTTTTGACAATATAATTAGGGGTGGCAATCGGGTCCAAATCGGAGTGACGGGTCGAGTTGAGACCCAGGTATAATAGATAACTGTCTGACCCGAACTTGACCCCCCAACCCGAAACGGGCCAAGATATCCGACCCGAATCTGAAAATTCCAGGTTGTCAGGTTGGCGGGACGACCCGAATGACCCA